TTTTCGGTCAGTCCTGTCACGTTTACATAAAACTCAACATAAACTGTGTGTAATTCGCCTTTAAAGGTATGACTCAAAGGAAGTGACATAATTTGACTGAGGTGAGGCTGACACTGATCAAGGCGGAGTTCTGTCATTGAATTGTAGGATTTTAAGCTTGTTTTTGTATGATTTTTTTGAGGAGGACAAGCTAAAGGGTCAGCCCCTGTCACGGTAAAACATCCCAGAAAATAATGAATTTTTTAAAAATCCAAAACATGTCTAAAAAAGTTACTGAAATTCCTTGATTGCATGTTAACAGTTTTTATGCTAGCATGCTAGCAGGCTGAGTAATGGCAGTTTAAAATGGCCGACCATCATCAGGCCCCATCACATCAGGCCCCGTCACATCAGACCCCGTCACATCAGACCTCGTCACATCAGACCTCGTCACATGTGATGGGGCCTGATGTGACGGGGTCTGATGTGACGGTGTCTGATGTGACGGGGTCTGATGTGACGGGGTCTGATGTGACAGGCCTGATGTGACGGGGTCTGATGTGACATGCCATAGTAAAACATTATTTGAATAAATAGACATTACACTGTAAATCTGAAGCTTTGTATGCTCATCGACACATCTTTTGAATTTTATCCCTCTTTTACCTAGGCCTATGTAGCACTGCATATTAGTATATTAATTATATTTCAATACATATGAAGAGTTTATTTGCAAAAACAGATAACTCCATTTTTAACAATTCTCTGAAATCATGTTTTTTCATCCTGCATTCCAGTTAATCTCAACCTTTAGTTGGGTTATTTTGATTAGGTTAAAAAATAACTAATAATTACAGCTAACTAACACAATAAAAACATGATTACACAATAAAAAACATGATTTTTGAAAATGTATCTGTTTTTGAAAATAAACTCTTCATATATAGATGTAATTGTCATCTATATACGCTTTGAGTAATGAAGGCTGTAATTATTTCAATTCATACAGATACCATGGTAATATCTACATTATTACCGAGGAAATAACATGCAATTTCCGTTATTACCATCTCTTTTCCCATTCTAGCTGTTTATTGTTATTGTATCTGGCCATGTTATTGTTAAATGAAATATGTTTTTATATTGAAATAAGATGAAATTAGTTTATTAATTTGTCAGTCATATTCTAATGAATTAGGCCCTTATTATTATGGGGTGCTGTGTGTACATTAATGAGGAAAAAAAATTAACTTAAATGATTTTAGCAAATGGCTGCAATATAACAAAGAGTGAAAAATTTAAGGGGGTCTGAATACTTTCCGTACCCACTGTATATCGATACCACAATAGTATCCTCTGAGTGTCGATATATCGATACTGCAGCATCGATGTGCACACCCCCAGAAAGAACTTCCTCTTGGAAATACGTCCATGCGTCAGAAGCTCAGAGATCACGGGTCACATAGAGACTCGGTTTGTAACTCCAGCAATGAAGCAGGTGTTTACCTGCTGGTAGTTTTGTGCAGTGACACGCTGGAGCTTCTGAGGAGCTTCTGGAGCGCTGCTTTCACAGCCCTGACGCCAGCCAACAGATCAACAGATCATGCCGTTTATAATGTTTGAATGTTTGAGGTTGATCTTCATCAAAAATACCTTGCTGCTGACATCAGACCATCTCGGGGTTGACTCTGATTCGGAGTCTGAACTGGAATCTACTTTACACATCTCCTGACAGAAACCACAGACTGCACTAAACACACACATGATGACAGATCATTCAGAAACACTAGAAATGGACAGAATCTTTCCATCTATTTCAATGCCAGTCTACCAACAACGTCTGACTGACTATTGATCAGTTCTTCCATTCCACATCACTGAGTAAATCTCATCTTCTTCTCGCTCAGTTTACTCTGCTTTATATCACAGCCAATCGTGCCATGTTATAGTGTGTGTGTGTGTGTGTTTGAGAGAGAGTGAGTGTGTGTGTGTGAGTGAGAGAGAGTGTGTGTGTGTGTGTGTGTGTGAGAGAGAGAGAGTGTGTGTGTGTGTGTGAGTGAGACAGAGAGAGTGTGTGTGTGTGTGTGTGTGAGTGAGAGAGAGAGAGTGTGTGTGTGTGTTTGAGAGAGTGAGTGTGTGAGAGAGAGAGAGAGTGTGTGTGTGTGTGTGTGTGAGAGAGAGTGTGTGTGTGTGTGTGAGTGAGACAGAGAGAGTGTGTGTGTGTGTTTGAGAGAGTGAGTGTGTGAGAGAGAGAGAGAGTGTGTGTGTTTGAGAGAGTTATACTAATAATTTTCACACAATAATTGGTAGAAGAAACAAAACATTTAATGTGTGTGAGGACGGATGGGATAATAAATAATTAGACTGTAAATACTTTAATATTTGATGAATGACATCATATAATTTGTTATTTATTCTTTTGAATTGCATGTATGTGTGTGTAAATGTGCATGTACTGTCACTAATGCTTCTGCGTTGTATTTATTTATTTATTTTAGTCACGCAATTAAACAAACATTTTTTTCTACTTAATTTTAGATTTAATAGTAAGAGAGAAAAACACAATGAAAAATATAGCTGCAAGCAGCGATGGCGGGCCCAAGCCATCAGTGCAAACGCCCCCCCGGAGGCATCAGGGGAACGGTGCACAGCGGGCACATACATTTACAGTAACCCTCCTGCAGGTTAAGGGATAGAGCAATGAAAGGGTTAATACAAACTACAAAGACTGTGAAACACACACACACACACACACAAACACAACAATATATAAAAGTTTGGTAACACTTTACAATAAGGTTTCAGTTATTAACATTAACTGTATTAATTAACATGAACAATAATTATATAGCATTTTATTAATGTTAGTTAATATAAAGTTAAAATCTGAAACATTATTAAAATGTAAAGTTTTATCTGTTAACATTAGTTAATGCACTGTGAATTAACATGAACGTTTTAATTAACTAACATCAACAAACATTAATAAATGTTGTAAACATATTTTTCATTGTTATTTCATGTTATTTAATGCATTTACTGTTGTTAATGTTAACAAATGAGATATTGTAAAGTGTTAGCAAAACTTTTAATGATTCATAAGCATTTCTAACGATTTGATTGATCTATAAGCATTTATGAAATATTTTTGCCTGCATTACAGCTTAGTCTTCATCTGTTTTACTGTTGCATCCATGAGATTATGTCAATTCAGATGAATGTCATGTCACAGGATGTCATAGTTTTTAACATTATATGGTAACATGAACAATATTTACGTAGTATTTATGAATCTCAGTTATTATCATGTTCAAAATTGACAACTACATTATTTATTAAAATGTATAGTTAATGCACATCAGTTACTGTACCATGAACTAAGATGACATTTTTTTACTAACACAAATAAATACAGCAAAACATATGGTTCATACTTAGTTTATGTTAGTTGTGAATTAACTAATGTTACAAAACTATATTTTAACTATTAGTTAACATGAACAATATTTATACAGCATTTATTAATGTTAATTAATATTAAGTCCAAAATGCATTAATACATTATAAAAAAAATTAAGTTGTACCTTTTAACATTAGTTTATGTAATGTGAATTAACATGAACATGATTATTTTTATTTATTAACATTAAAAAGATGAATAAATGCTGTAAAGATATATTGTTCATTGTTAGTTGATGTTAGTTAATGCATTACCTAATGTTAACCTAAGAGACCTTATTGTAAATTGTTACCAACATGTTTTCTGATCTATAACCATTTAAAACAATTATTTTAATAACCTATAAGTCCAGATTCCAACATGTGTGCAATGTTCCAAGAGTTTTCGAGTATGTTAAAGGCCCCAAAACCCCCAAAAACCTTGAAAGAAAAATAATAATAATAATAATAATCCTTAGAAAAACAATAGGGCCTGCGCCTTACTGGCTCGGGCCCTAAAAAGAAGCCAGTTCAGTGATACAGGAAACATGTGCTTTGAGGGAATCTCTGGAGCGCAGTGCGCATGCGCGGCGCGTCAGATCCGGCTGCGGAAGGATGAATGTAAATGTCAAAGATGGCGGCGGAGGGAGGAGGGAAGGAGATGAACGAGATCAAGAGGTATCTCAGAGGTGTGTGTGTATCAGGTTGTTTGGCAGTGCTGCAGGTGTTCAGTCTCTCTCTCTCTCGGTGTTCCCGCAGGCTGCCGATCTGAGTAAGCCCATAGATAAGAGGATCTACAAGGGAACGCAGCCCACGTGCCACGACTTCAATCACCTGACGGCGACGGCGGAGAGCGTGTCTCTGCTGGTGGGCTTCTCCGCAGGACAGGTGCAGCTCATCGACCCCATCAAGAAGGAGACCAGCAAACTCTTCAATGAAGAAGTGAGTGTCGTAGGGCTCTGTCAAACAGACCTTTTTCCCACCCTACATTCAATTTTATATTATTTTTCTGGTTTCTAGTCTTAATGGTTTAATTAAACATTAATAATCCAAAAGGAAAGCACTTAGAAATGTTTAGTTTTCTAAGGAAATTTTGTCTGGATTTTGTTTTATGATTTAATATAAATTTATTATCCAATGAAGTTGTTCAGTTCCTTTTAATTGTTGACAAACAAACTGCTGCACAACAGAAATTGTGTAATATTCCTTAATACAGCTTATTAAAACTATAATGTATTATTATTATTATTACTACTACTTTGAGAAGTACATTCTGCTGTACAATAGTAATTTTTTTTTTTTTTCAAGTGAAACTTTTATTTCGGCGGGTTGTAGTGAAGGGCTTTGAGTTTCTGTGCGCATCTGTCAGATGGTGAAATGCTACTGATTTAGCAAATTCTACTGTAAATTCTACTGTAGGATTCCGTCTGTTTTCTGCATCGTGAGAATCACACGGCCCTAACACTGTATCTGTGTTTGTTGTGTTCTGGACGACATGTTTGTTTATTCTTTTTCTGGAGTTGATTTAATTGAAAGCAGTGTCATTGAAATGCTGGATACATTGGTCATGATCCTTTCTTTTAACCCATGATCCTCTCTGTCTTGTCTCTCCTGAACCGCTCAGAGACTCATAGATAAATCCCGGGTCACGTGTGTGAAGTGGGTCCCGGGCTCCGAGAGCCTGTTCCTCGTGGCTCACTCCAGCGGGAGCATGTACCTGTATAACGTGGAGCACACCTGCGGCACCACAGCGCCTCACTACCAGCTGCTGAAGCAGGGCGAGAGCTACAGCGTTCACACCTGCAAGAGCAAGTCCACACGCAACCCTCTGCTCAAGTGGACGGTGGGCGAGGGCGCGCTGAACGAGTTCTCCTTCTCGCCCGACGGGAAGTTCCTGGCCTGCGCGAGTCAGGACGGCTTCCTGCGCGTCTTCAACTTCGACGCGGTGGAGCTGCATGGCACCATGAAGAGCTACTTCGGCGGCCTGCTGTGCGTCTGCTGGAGCCCCGACGGGAAGTACATCGTGTCCGGCGGCGAGGACGACCTAGTGACTGTCTGGTGCTTCGCAGACTGCCGCGTGATCGCCCGCGGACACGGACACAAGTCCTGGGTGAGCGTGGTGGCGTTTGACCACTACACCACCAGCGTGGAGGAGAGCGAGCCCATGGAGTTCAGCGGCAGCGACGAGGACTTCCAGGAGCAGATGCACTCGGGCCGCGAGCGAGCCAACAGCACACAGTCTCGTCTGTCCAAGCGCAACTCCACGGACAGCCGGCCGGTGAGCGTGACGTACCGCTTCGGCTCGGTGGGGCAGGACACTCAGCTGTGCCTGTGGGACCTGACGGAGGACATTCTGTTCCCGCACCTGCCGCTGTCCCGGACGCGGACGCACACTAACGTGATGAACGCCAGCGGCCCGCCGGCCACAGCAAGCGGAAGCAGCGTCATCACCGGCTCCAGCAACCCCAGCACCAACGGCGGCAGCAGCAGCTCAAGTGTGCTCCCCGCTCCGCTGCCGCGCTCCAACAGCCTCCCGCACTCCGCCGCCGGCACCGGAAACAGCAAGAGTGCTGCCTCGGACAACCCCATCGCCGCCGGCGTCAGCAAGTTCGCCACGCTCTCGCTGCACGACCGGAAAGAGCGGCACCCCGACAAAGACCACAAGCGCAACCACAGCATGGGCCACATCAGCAGCAAGAGCAGCGACAAGCTCAACCTGCTGACCAAAACCAAAACAGACCCTGCCAAGACTCTGGGCACGCAGCTGTGTCCGCGCATGGAGGACGTGCCGCTGCTCGAGCCGCTCATCTGTAAAAAGATCGCGCACGAGAGACTTACCGTGCTCATCTTTCTAGAGGACTGTATAGTCACCGCATGTCAGGAGGGGTTTATTTGCACCTGGGCGAGACCCGGTAAAGTGGTGAGTACCTTTGCACCGTCTGCGAGCGGCGACTACCGCCACACATTCACAGTCAGTCGAGGCTTGCTTTAGCCGCTCGTTTCTCCCACAGTGCTGCTCGTCTCTCGCTTCAGCTGAAGGCCTGATGATAAACTGAAGCGTGCAGCACTCTGGATCCCCAGAACAGGAATACACCGCCAGCCTAAAGTTCTTTAACAGTAATCTTTGAAAACATTTTCCACAAGTTGGCACAATTTATTAGTAGGGATGTAACGATTCACTCAACACACAATTCGATTCGATTCACGATTTTTTTTTTTACAAAATGAAATTTAAGACAAATTATAAATTAAATGTGTCCTTTTATTATTGCTTGGACAAAATACTGTATGTTTCTTTGTGAAATTGAAATATAACACTATAATAATATACTAATATAGCACTTGCTTATCATTGCTCTTTAGTTGGTTTTGATTGCCTCTGTTGTCCTCATTTGTAAGTGGCTTTGGACAAAAGCATCTGCTAAATGTCAAAATGTAAATATAATGTAAATAACAAAACTAAATTGAAATTTAAAAACAAGCCCCAAATCAAATAAATAAGTAACACAAATAAAAGAACCCTCTTCATATAAACAACCTCAGGCTTTGTCTGTGCGCTTTCCTGTTAAAACTAGAGGCAACCACTGCATTTTAATCACGATCCAAACAAAGATGCAGCGTACGTGCAACATGAGCAGTTTTTAATCTAAATTA